GGAACCATTCGATTGGAAGTTAGCGATTCGCGAAGAAATTCGCGCGGCTATGAAGGGTTTTGCAAGCGGTCAGCCGGGCGCGTAGCCGAACTGACCGAGCGTAATTTTACGAACTATCTGTGTTCTTGGTTTGGAGTAGCCATGTATATACCAGAAAAAGGGGCGTCCGCAGAGCGGCGCGGAGAGGCTCAACCCTCTTGCTTAATTCCCCCGAATAAAAAATTATCTCCTACCTCGAATCAGACCGAACCTACGCAGTGGCAGCGCCACACCCCATGGACAGCGGCATGGATCCGCCAATGGATAATCAGCGAAGACAAAGCAGCGCTTACACTGCTGAATGAATGGGTGCACTCAAAGAAGAGAGTTGACGCCTCAGAAGCCTGTATGAAACAAATCAGGCAAATGAAAGAAGAAGAAGCTATCGACTTCTTGAACGAACTACGGAATAAACCTCGCTTCGTCCGAGGAAGGAAAGGAACACAAATGGATGTTCCCATAATCATTACTACCTTGGATACACATCAGCGCTTATCAGTAAAAGCACTACTCGACACCGGCTGCACAGGATCATCCATTGATGCACAGTTTGTACGCGACAACAGTATCGCTACTAAGAAACTACCATCTCCGATTCCTGTCTACAACGCCGACGGCACACATAACAGCGGAGGAGCGATTACAGACTTCGTTGAATTAAGGGTCGAGATCCATGATCACGTGGAAAGACTTCCCTTCGCAGTCACTAATCTAGGAAAGACACCCATCTTCCTGGGTTATGAATGGCTCCAGATCCACAACCCGTCAATTGACTGGCAGGAACAGATCATTCAATTTGATCGTTGCCCAATCACGTGCAAATATGCCGCCAGATTAATAGATATTGATGCCGATCAAGAAGAACCCAGCGATCCGGAGGCTCGCCTAGAAGAGGGGGATAGAATCTTCGCTCTAGACTACGAAACCTATTTCGCTACGGGAGCGGCACGTATTCGCACCACGGCCACAGACCTAGCAATAAAAGAAAGTCTGAAGCACGAAGCCAAAACCTTTGAAAATACGGTCCCGAGTCATTATCACGACTACTCGGATGTGTTTAGCAAAGAAGATTTCGACTCTCTGCCTCAACGGCGACCATGGGATCACGCTATCGAACTGACACCAGGTTCACAACCGATCAGCTGCAAAGTATATCCAATATCGGTCAATGAACAGAAGGAACTGGATGAATTCATAGAAGAGAACCTGAGAACCGGAAGAATCCGACCATCAAAGTCACCCTGGGCCTCACCCTTCTTTTTCGTCAAAAAGAAGGACGGACGTCTCCGACCCGTACAAGATTATCGGAAGTTGAACGAACTAACGATAAAGAACCGATATCCGCTCCCTCTGATACAAGAACTAGTGGACAAACTGAAGCAAGCACAATACTTCACGAAGTTAGACGTCCGATGGGGGTACAATAACATCCGCATCAAAGAAGGCGATGAAGAAAAAGCCGCCTTCCTCACCAATCGAGGATTATTCGAACCTCTTGTAATGTTCTTCGGACTTACGAATTCCCCGGCTACTTTCCAAACAATGATGAACGACATATTCCGAGATCTCATCAGTCAGGGACACGTAGTAGTTTACCTAGACGATATCATGATTTTCACCCAAGATCTGAAAGAACACCATTGGATCACACGGCAAGTCTTGCAGATATTGAGGGAACACAAACTTTATCTGAAACCAGAAAAGTGCGAGTTCGAGAAAACCGAAGTAGAATACCTCGGTATGATAGTCGGAAAAGGTGTCGTCCGTATGGACCCAGTAAAAATAGAAGGAGTAATCAATTGGCCAAGGCCTGAATGTAAACGAGACATCCAGGCATTCCTCGGCTTTACCAACTTCTACCGAAGGTTTATCCGAGACTACGGCAAAATAGCAAAGCCGCTTAGCTCTCTAACAGGCAACACTCCTTTCGAATGGACCATCGAACAAGAAATAGCGTTCACAAGCTTGAAAGAAGCACTCTGTTCAGCGCCAGTACTGGCCATACCCAATGATGATGATCCTTATCGAGTAGAATGTGACGCCTCGGACTTCGCCGTAGGAGCTGAGCTAGCTCAGAAGCAAGACGGTAAATGGAAGCCCGTCGCCTATCTGTCTAAAGCCATGACAGCCGCCGAAAGGAATTACGAAATCTACGACAAAGAACTCCTCGCAATCATGACTAGTCTTGATGAATGGCGCCAGTACCTCATGGGCGCCCTACATCCGTTTGAAATATGGACGGATCACAAGAACCTAGAGTATTTCCGAAAGCCACAAAAGCTTAACCGACGACAGGCCCGATGGGTAACCGAATTAGCTGAATATCATTACTCGCTACATCACAAACCCGGAAAGACCAATGGAAAAGCGGATGGGCTGTCTCGACAAAAGAGACACAATGCAGGAAAAGAGGATAACTCAGATATCGTATTACTAAAACCAGAACATTTTCGTGCCCTGATCCGTACTACTGTATTTAGTTTAGAAGGGATCGACCAGGACTGGGTCACCGAAATTAAAAAATACAAAAAGAATCGAGACTCGGTAGTTACCATAGCTCTACAGAACAAGGACAAGGACTGGAATGAAGATAGTACCGGACTCGTGACATGGAAGAATCGTATTTACGTACCAATCAACAAAAAACTCCGTGAGCAGATCATTGCTCATCACCATGATACCCCATTGGCCGGACACCCTGGTCAATACAAAACACACGAAATGGTCACGCGCAACTACTGGTGGCCTAGAATTCGAGAAGATATCCGGAAATATGTAGCCGGATGCGAAAGATGTCAGAAGACCAAGGTTCACACCACGCGACCTACGGGACTTCTATTTCCCAACGAAATTCCCACACGACCATGGGAGGTGATCTCCGTAGACAAAATAGGCGTACTACCAGAATCCTTCGGATACAATGCTATTCTCGTAATCGTCTGCATGTACTCCAAGCAGATGATCGCGATACCCAGTAGTATCGAACTTAACGCTGAAGGATGGGGAAAAGCGCTTCGCGACCATGTGGTAGCACACCACGGACTACCCCGAAAGATCATCAGCGATCGAGGAACCGAATTCAAGAACAAGTTCATCACCGAATTATACCGATCGCTCGGTATCGAAGCCAATCCCTCGACCGCATACCACCCGCAAACGGACGGACAAACGGAACGTGTCAATCGAGAAATTGAACAGTACCTCAGATTATTCATCAACTACCGACAAGCAGATTGGGCCGAGTGGTTGCCGCTCGCAGCATTTTCATACAACAATAAAGTCCACTCCTCTACCGGATACACTCCCTTCTTCGTCAATAAAGGATATCATCCCAATGAAGGAACTCAGCCGGTACGAGAAGGACTAAGTGAAAATGTCCAACAATTCGTTGATAGAATGAGCCGAGTACGAGAAGACACTAGTACGGCTATCGGGCTAGCACAAGAGTCCATGAAACGTTTCTATGATAGGAAAAGGAAGAGCGGTCCGGAGTATAAGGCGGGAGATAAAGTTTGGCTAGAAGGGATTAATATTCGAACCGATAGGCCAATGAAGAAGCTCGATGATAAGCGATATGGACCTTTCAAGGTCAAACGCAAAATCGGCGCTTCGGCCTACGAACTAGAACTTCCCCGACAATGGAAACAACACCCCGTTTTCAACGAAAGTCTTCTAAGTCCTTTCAAAGAACCTGTCTACTCTTCTCAACGACACGAACCTACGGTCCCAGACCTCGTAAATGGCGAGGAAGAATGGGAGGTAGAAGAAATCCTTGATTCGCGTCGCGATCGAAATGGAAACCTCGAATACCAAGTTCTTTGGAAGAACAGCCCCCACGGCGACCGCCGTACTTGGGAATCACGGGCGAACTTGACCAACTGTCAGGAACTTCTTCAAGAATTCCACGCTAGACGTCCCGACAAACCCGCGCCTATGACAATAAGAATTCCGCCCCTTCTCACACGACCTGTCCACATCCTCACACGCGATACCACTCTCTTGGTTCAACGAATGGGAGGAATTCTTCCAAAACAAGGGTCTGACGAAGCCGCAGGACTCGACCTCTATTCGGCTGAAAGCGTTAAAATAATGGCCCGAAGTCGGAAGGTTATCGGCACCGGCATTGCAATGCGTGCCCCTCATGGAACTTATGCACGAATTGCACCACGAAGCGGGTTAGCAGTCAAAGGGATTGACATTGGCGCAGGAGTGGTCGATCGTGACTATACCGGAGAAGTGCGCGTATTGATGATCAATTCTACCGATCAAACTTTCCAAGTACATGCCGGTGATCGGATCGCTCAAGTAATTTTGGAACGCATTGCGTCATGCGATATCGAGGAGATTACGAGTTTAATGGAAACGCAACGAGGAATGAGCGGGTTTGGATCCACTGGTAAATAATCGTGAGGACACGATTCTAGACGGGGGGGTAATGTCATGAATATTACGCATTCCGGATGGTTCTCCCGGATTCCATACTATTCTTTTACTTTCTATACACCTCCATATACTCGTAGGATATTCTAGGTATTGAGTCTGACATGTATATAAGGAGCTCATACTGCTCAATAACAAGCCAGACTCGAGCTGGTCTTTACTCACCCACTTTCCTCTCGTCTGTCTCCTCACTCTTGTCGTAGCCCAGTCCAGTTGGATTGTAGGTTGCTGACAGTCCAACCCCTTTGCCGCCGGGCGTCTCGTGGGTTTGGTCTACCGATCGTTGAGTCCGCTCACAGCCATGGAACACTAGCTGCTATCGAGGTCGAAAATTCCATAGTAAGTTCAGAACATTTCCATAGCTTACAAGGTTCCTGCGACAACGACGACACAGCAGCACACAACGAAGCGCGGCCCTCCAGGAAGCTGAGAGCCGAGTCAAGGCCAGCAGATTTCTTGCCCAACGACTGTCTGTGCACTAACGTCAGAGGTTTGTCACGCGAACACTCTTTCGGTTTGTGAGAAATTTATATTAACGGTTGTGCCTACGAAGGGATCATTACAAGGTCAGAATGAAGCAAAATGCTTCCTAGTAAATGTAGGGGACAATGCGGTACGAAACCAGCTGCTTATATTTATGCCAGTCTTCGCCGTATCTGCAATCCATCGTCAGTAAATTATCTTCCACAAATGTGTTTCCAGCTTACTTCTTCTCGCAGTTCTCGTCGTCCCGATATTGGCGGTGCATCAACAGAACCAGGAAATAAGAGACATAGAAGTATGTGACCGGAGTCTCAAACCCGGTCGGAAGAGACCATGCAAGAGCCATCAAGAGATCGCCACTAAGAGAGACAATATAAGACTGCGAGTTACATATGGACTGGAAACTTTAAATAACGCACAAGTAGTTAGGATGGCGACACATGCCCCACCATCCAGAGATGAGCAGCTTCGTGCCACGCTTCGTATCCATAGTCTTGAGGTCTGCAACAGCCAGTCAGATACATCCGTCGCAAAAGCATAGTCGCGCACTCCTGGGGTTCTTGCCATTGCGGAAGTCGTTCTTTTCGCCGTTAGCACCACGGAAGATCCAGTAGCCAGTCAAATTAACGAGAAGGATGAGCGCCGTATGAACAGGTCCCAGCTCGATCTGCTTATATACGAGGTAACGGGCCTGCAGAGAGTACACGAAGGGCACCCAGGCGAGGTCGCCTACGGAAAGCATGAAGCCGAAGCCATCAGTAGTGATGTCCATGGTTGTGAAGATCGCCGGCTATACAGCATGTGAGATGCGCACAGTCTACACCCAGCGGGAGACGTACTTCGTTATACAAGCCATCTGCGACGTAGAGGGCCTGGAAAAAGAGGACCAGCCACAATGAATCTGTGACCTTGCCACCTCGACGGACAGCCTGTTCACACGCCATGCTGATGTCAATGAGAACCCAGAGAATTAGGCCGGGGCGGAGTTCGTTGAATGACTTGATGTCGAATGAGCCAATCGAGGGGTTAAGCACCCGACCAATGAAGAACTATGTCCAGTTATCTCGGTGAGATGGGGTGAGGAGATAGGGGACACGAGGCTCACGTACATCGTAGATCGGATTGCCCGTGTTTCCGCCTAGCGCGAGGAGCTTGTCGCCAAAAAACGATGATATGTAACAGTACAGCCCTTGGAAGATGGACATCGAGACGGAGGCAGTGACGAGACCAACCCAGTGTTCGTAGATGAACGTGAAGGACTGGGGTCCGAAGCGCATGATCCAGCCAATAGTAATGCCCATGGTCAACAAGAGCGTAGTGAAGGCTGGTGAACAGGGTTAGTAATGTATGCGTTATCAGGGCATTCTGCGCGCACCATTGATCTTGTACTTCTTCCTCCTGCCATCCCGCATCGTCGTCCCTTCAATCCAGTCCCCTGGGAGGACGAACCAGCAAACAACACAATAAATGTACCATATAAGATACATGACTGCCGCATCCTTATCCCACAGAGACTTCCAGAACTCGGGATTCTGCAACGATATTTTTGTGCTGGGCCAGATGGTCGCCAGTTGGGGCGGACAGCCGCCAGAGTGCTCGGAGCAGCCAAAATAGAGTGCATAGATTGTCGCTGGCACAGAGAGAGTGATGAAGAGCGTGCCCGGCGGACCAAGGAACTCATAGCCCTTCGTGCGCGGGTTGAGGTCAGTGTTTTTCGTGTCCGCCATGTCGGCAGGTAGTCGTAGGGAAAGGGAGCTGCGCGCAACGTTTTAAACCGGACGGCCTGTGAGAAACGCGACGCGCTCGTACGACGCGTTCAATTATTTTCACACTAAGATCGTTTCCGGACATAACCGCGGTAAACAACCCGTAATTTCCCCACACGCCACAAGGCTGGTTCACACCTGCGACTGCGTAACGATCGCTGCGATGGCATCCGCTCTGAGGCTGAGACTGCTCCACGCTCAATTCTCTCATTTTGGGACGATACTAACACGTAGGAACTCACAGCCATGGCTGCGGTGGTCGCGGGCGTACAGCACACCGGCTGCGGCCAACCCGATTTCCAAACGTTCCTACCTCTACGGTGCTGTGCATTGTTGTATCGTACGTTTTTCAGCATATTAACAATTTCAATGCCTCAGTACCCACCTCATCTGACCGAACTTTGAACAAATCTCTGGTGACACACTCCGATGTCATTGTGTATGACCTTGAGGATAGTGTGCCTCCTACCCGTGCCAACAAAGAGGGCGCACGAGGTCGTTTGTCACTCTTCATTACTGTAACTTAGGACGTTCCTTTTCCAGCTCACTGGCTAGAATGTCTCATCTGCGCACAGGACAAACTGTTCGGCGGGTTGCCTCAGCCGGAGCGGCTCGCCGTCCGCGTCAACGCCGTGAATACCCCCTTTTTCCAAGATGACATTACTCAGGCGGTGAGTGCACTCGTTACTCTTAAATTGGCAACGTCTAACACCTCCTTGCAGCTCGTACCGTCTTGTATTCGCACCCTTGTCATTCCTAAGGTGCACTCCATTCAAGAGCTCGATGTTGTATCGACTCAGATACACGCTGCAAACTCGAGGAAGACATCGCCAGATCCAGTGAACATTGTAGCAAGCATTGAGAGCGCGAGGGCACTCTACAATGTCGGTGAGATTGCCGGCTGGCAGTCCAAGTTTAGGCCTGAGCTAGGCGGCAAGCTCACCGCTCTCCTAGTATGTATTGAGTCGAACAAAACATTCACGACCAACTCATGAGAACGCAGTTTGCTGCAGAAGATTGTACGTGATGTTGCTTGACTTTCTCCCAGGCACAGGATTGATGTGGATTAGATTGTGCCGATACTAAGATCATTCGGACGAAGACTCGCCAAGAATTGCTCTACACCCGTTCGCAGATCTCTATCACAGCTAGGGCGTTCGGCCTTGAGTCCATCGACATGGTAGGTTCGAAGCTAATATAACGAGTAAATAACCTCACGTAGATGTGAAAGGTCTGTGTCGACTACAAAGACTCTGTATACCTCAAGGACGAATGTGATGACGGCCGAAGACTAGGTTTTACTGGCAAAGTATGTTGCCCTATTCCTCTCTCGTCATTCCTGCACATGATCTTGCGCTTAGCAAGCGATACACCCGAACCAAGTTGAGGTTATCCATTCCTCATTTCTGCCTACTACAAAGGGTATGTATTTTCAGCTCCTGACACGTTAGTCTCTCACTTGCCACCTCTAGAGATCCTCCGTGCAGCGCGTATCTTACGCCAAATGGAGAAAGCTCACGGTCAGCAGCGCGGAGCAGCCGGTCTGGTGACGGAAGATGGTGGTCTGGAGATGATAGACCAGCCGATGATAAAGCAGGTGCGTTTGAAATTGCGCTTAGGGACGTCAATATGATTTATCAAGCTCTCCTAGGCCGAGTATACCATTCGCACGGCCTTGGCCGCGGGTCTAGAGATACCAAAGATTGAATAGATGTACACTATGCAGGACTTAAACGATCTACGTACAAGGGACCAGGTATCAACAGCGTTAGACCATCTCCTCGCTCCTATCGTAACTCTGCAATCCTTTCCGTAGGCCGTGACTTCATGCGCGACAGTGGCGTCTCCAATCCTATATAAGGTTAAGCTTTCGGGAAACAACAAACGGTCGTGTGAATAACCGCTGTCTGAATTCACCTCAGCCCCTGTTCGTACCTTCCAGAGGCCTCTCATCATTGACGAAGGTGAGCCAGAGAACAAATTGGTTGTCTCTATTCCTGCTGACATCGATATTGCTCAGCATATCTCGCAGCGAGAGCTGGTGCTGCGCATCTCCCGATCAATTTAACTGTAGCATTCAAAGAAACGATTAGTGCGCACTAATACCGCCAGGCTGAGCCAATACGTCTCTGCCCCCGCCCCCCTTCTCGCCATATGAACCGTGCCTCCGCGGCAGACATACCGCAGGAGCTATTCCCTCTAATCATCTCGTACGCTCTGGATGAGTGTTTCCTTGTTGAAAATTTCTTCGTTCGCTCCGTGGAAAGACATATCATAGGCCAATTTTCCCTGGTATGCTCTTACTGGGGCAAAAACTGCCGGCCTTGTTTATTCGCCGGGTCAACGGTCACAATCAAGGGATGCGAGGATGTGCTCGCGCTGTCTCGCTTGTTGCAACCTCCGGTGCAGGTCAAGCCCCCTTTCCGAAAATGTCTTGAATCAGCCACTTTCGTCTTAAGCACTACCGTCTTGCCCTGGATCGAGATGGCATCCTGCGTACGCTCCCTCTCCAACTTGGAATTCTCCCTGATTCAATGCACACTCGAACAAGTCGGGAATATTCGGACCGCATGTAATTCCAGGACCCTACAAGATCATGCACCGGGTTCGTGGTCTCATGGTCTACCCCGTACGGTGCCGAGCACCACGCTGCGGATGTTCTCGGTACACCTTCACGGCCTACGTTTCGCAAAAATGTCCAATCTATGCGGCCTCTTCGACTTGCCCGCGTCACTGCGAGTAATACGCTGCAGGAAGCTTGAAATCGTGAACATGGCCCTGTCTTTCCCGAGTCGCGTCCGGATACCCAGATCGGGCACTCTTGACGTCGAGGTATCGCAATGCGGCTCCACAGAGAGCAACACAGCTATCCTACTTTCGAGTGCAGCATTCAACCAACGCCTCGCTACTCCCGCGTACAACCTCGGCTGGGACACTTGGATGGCAATCCACAAGGCGGTACAGTCGATGATGTACTGTAACGGCACGGACCCTGATGCATATCTCGACTGCAGACTCCTGAGCAATGTTGAGCCGAATAACGACCGTGTGTCAATGTGCGTCAAATTCCTTAGGATGCAGCAGGAATGGTTGGACGCACTCTCCCGATCCACAAACGTTACGCACCAGCTGACCTTGATGTGGGGCTATACGCCGAATAAGCTCTTTCTCCGCACCCCAGCTACACGCACAATTACAAACATCCGCGTCAGATTCTTCGAGGCCGTGGTGTCAGAGGCCGTCCTAGCCGTGTACACATGCAGCATTGAAGACCTCATCCTCGCCGTTGGGCCCTCTACTCCGACCATAATCGACATCGACGAGAACGTAAGCACTTTCTCGTGGTTTGTGGAGCACGTCTTGAGCTCGGAGGAGACGCCATTGCGGCTCCTGCACAACAAAGCGAAGCTCAAGCTGACTCTCTCTTATCGCACAGCGCTCGGGCCCTGGTCCACTTCCGAGCTCGCTCTTCGTGACGTTGCCCTCCAGCCTCCCCAGCGCACTGTAGGAGACGACGTTGTGACACTGGACCCCCGCAGCCGCTTAGAGCTCTGCCTCTGCACACTAGACCTAGACCTTGAGGCGGAGAGTGCCGCCAAAACCGCATACCTGAGATGGGTCTTAGCTGGGTCTCGAGAGGCAGGAGCCTTCATTGGAAGGACGAGGAAGCAGAGGGAGGAATTGTTCTCGACGTTCTTACGATGCGCCGAGTACAGGGCAATCAGAGCGTCGTCGACAACGCGCGATGGCGCATATGAGTATTTCGTCTTGCGGGAAAACTATGACGATGAAGAGATGCACAAGTGAGGAATGAAGGACGAATTGACTATTTTCAATATCCTAAAAACTATCAGACGCGTTGCTCACATATACGTTTCACCCAAGGCTTCACGTCGGTTTCTTGATAAAATCTGAGATCCTGTCTCCTGAATGACCATTCCGCCAAAATCAGATAAGCCATAACATGTATTTGCGATACGTGTGCAAAACAATGATGCATATATAAGAAAGTCCGTCGTGCGAGTCGCTGTGCAATCGATAGAGGAATAAGGTTAAGATGTAGGCGGAAAAGCGGAGCGCAAAGCGGCAAATGGTGAGGACTTGTGTGAGAAGGGACGAGAGAAAGGGCACAGTGAATTGGATGAGAGATGCGAAGTTTGAGAAAAGAGAGGAGAGGGAGAGTCGTAACGGGGGTCGTAATAATTGAGTGGGTGGCTATGGAGAAAGAGACGCACTAGTGATATCCACTAGTAGGTTATCTAACGAAGTGTGAAGAAGGCTCGGAAAGACTGAAGAAGCGGAAGCGACGTGAGGACGTTGCCGACGAGTGTGTCATCCTCAGTGCGCTGAGGCGCAAAGTAGAAGCCAGCGATAAGGACAAGGTAGCTACAGCGTGTATAAGTACAACGACACGCAGATGCAACTGTAAAACGCACCTCAGGATCAGTATACTGCCACGGTGGTAGTTGCTCTTTGCTTCGATATAGGTATAGGTCATCAGGAACACGGAGAGGATGATGGTGATGACATCCCAGCGAGGGAAAATCAACCTAGAAGGGCACTTCAGTCGTCGGTTGCTTTTGGCGAAGTGGGCACTCACGTGAACGTATCGGAAACCGAACCCATCTTGTCGGGTGCGTACCATTCCGAGAATACGACCATGGCCGGAATCTGGAGCAGACACACCTGCAGAGCGTACGCGGAACCGATCTCCATACTAATTATCGGGTCAGTAATTCGTTTAGACAAAATAACGAGATGCCAGCTCACCTCAGGGCAATGTTACCATTTATCGCAAACGATATGGCGTTCATGAACTCCGTCGTATTCGGCACCAACGCGAACAAGGTGACACCAAGGAACTTCTCATCAATGCCAGAGCCTTCGAGCACAACGTCAACGACATCTACCAAAATCTCCGCGATAGCAGCATACAATGCTGTACACACTAGGAGCACGCTCGCACTGGTCGCGCGGCTCCACGATGGGCTATCATGTCCGCCATGTCCTCCAGCAGCAGCAGCCTCAAGCTCTGAGTTGATGCGTGGGCGAGCAGGTGAATGTCCGTGGTTCTGTTGGTGCCGGAGCGCGCTGACAGTCGCAACGGCGACAGCGCGAGTGAAGTCGTCAGAGGTGACGTGGCCGGGGAGCTGCAGGGTCTGGACCGCCGGGTCGTGCATGGCATGATCGACACTTTCAAGGAGAGGCGTCAGGTTCGGGGCATTAATTACGGGCGGATTGGCATAGGATATTCTGCGATTACCGGGCGCAGGGGTGTTCGGAATTTGACTACCGCTCTGACCCTGTGAAGTGGATTGCTGTGGAGGCTGGTATTGGTAATCGCGTGATTTGGGCACTGGGGTCGGGCTACGGGATGGCCCCCTGCTTTCTGAGGTGGTGATGATGCTTCGCTTGGGATGCAGCGATGGAGGCTTTTGGAAGCTTCCAGGCAAAAGCCTCTGGTACAGAGAAATACGCGGATTCGAAGGCTCGATTGGCATCTCAGAAGGATGTAGCAGTTGCCGCGGGTTCTGCCAAATCTGGGTCGCGTGGGTCCGCAGCGAGAACCAAAGGCCGATCAAGTACGACTGTACGGCAAAGCATTAGTAGACAAGCGGTTAAGTTGCACAGAGAACGTACCAGCACCAGGATAGCAGCACAGAAGAACATCAGAGACTTGACAGTTGATTGGTAAAATGGGTCGTCGACAGGATCTGGGTGCTCGTAGTAGCAGTGCTGGCACACCCATGGAGGACTCGACGGTCGCGTGAGGGAAGTACCTTCAGGGCAACCCTCGCAAACCAACTGGAACTGCGCATACAGTCAGCAAGAGATTTCGTTAAAGAGCCCTATAATCACATACGCTTCCATATGTTTGGTAGAACAGAGTCGGGGCCAGAGTACCGATAAAGGCCATAATCAGGAGCATGCTGGTGACACCAGCGCTCTTGGCGTTAAATCTCATCTCCTTCTGCCGAATAGCACCACTGCACATACTCGCTCCGGGCATGAGGAGAACGCCCGCGAGCAAGCTACCCACGATGGATCCTTCCACAAGGTGGCCACGCCGCTCGGTAAGGGCAATCGCGTAGAGGATGATCTCGATGATTGAACCGAAGGTCGCGTTAATGACCGCACCCATACCGATGGAAGATTGCGCGGAGATGGAAGCGACTGCCATGCCGATGAAGTACGATAGCGGTATGACACTGGCAAGACTCATAATGAATATGAGTGGCCGAGCTGTGATTATAGCGAGGAAGGCAGGAACGTGTTTCCCTGCACGCTCGCGCCTCTCTGCCCATGGAAGAAGGACCCATCCGTCCAAAATAACGAGGAACACGAGCGGTATGAGGTTGACAAACATGATGTTGACGCCGCCAACGGTGTATTTGTAGTACTTCCATCCAAAGGCGCGGTAGGTGCAAAGTAGGACGGTGGAAGTCGGGGAACCAGAAGGCGCGGCCTGACCAGCGGCGAGCCTGGCATGCTTGAAAGAGATGTGAGACTCATTGCCTCCATGCTGGCCGTTCTCTTCTGCTGTATTGGCAGCCCCATTATCTACCGCCACGGCGACCACTGGAGCCGAGCAGAACCGGATATCGCTGGGGTGTTGGAGCATATACCTGAACAGTGTCCACGTGAGCTTGGCCATGGGCACAGTAAAGACGAGACCCCAGCATATCGTGCAGACAAGGAACATGAGGGGAGCAATGAGCACGCCGAACAGGACGTAGTATAAGACTTTCCCTAGTCCGGAGGGGCGTCCTTTTCCCGCGTTAGCCAGTGTGGACGAGGGCGTTGCGCCATATGACTTCGAAGGGGTAAGAGGGGCTGGCCGGGACAGAAGCGATGTGGCCTCGTTAGCTGCGGGTGCGTTGTTCGGGTCCCAAGAAATCGATGCCTGGTGGCGGAGAGCAGTCCGAGCGGTTATCGTGGCCTGATCCGATGGCTGCTCAAGGGCGGCCTCGCCGGGGGTCAGTGTCTCGGTAGAATTGTCTCCGCTTGCCATACCATGCGGGCTCGTAGGGCTCTCTTCATCTTCGTCCGAGTGGTCGGCGCCAATGTCGCCCTCGACGTACTTGCCAAATGGCCAAGCTATGTACCATCCCAGCCCGAAGACGAGGGCGGCATACTGCTTACCCCCGAAGGGAGCGAGCCGTAGGACAGCAGAGACAACGAAGCATACCAATGCGAGCCACCAGCCAAAGGCGACGGTCCAGAAGATATTACCGGGGAGTAGATGACGCTCCGCCTGCGCCGATGGGACGGAATGCAACGCCTGGTCCGCATAGCGCGTCACTGAGCGCGACTTCTTATACAGCGCAGGCTTCCAGATGGGCAGGCCGAATGGGTGCTCGACGTTGATGAGCGACTGTCTTTCCTTGACCGTTATCGGATCCTCATCGCGCTCTTCGTCCTCGTCCTCCGCAGCCGAGTCGTGCGCATCGTGGCGGTCGTAGCCAGCCGCTCCGCTCCGCGAATTCTCGTACTCCATGTCCTCATCCTCCTCACTCAGCATCCCTTCCTCATCACGGTAAGCACGCCCCGCAGCGCGCGAGCTCGCAATGCTTGTACTGCGCGTGCGCGGCCGCCTCACAGAGGCACTAGACATGGTTCTCGGCAGGTACGGATGGTGCGTGCGTCTCGAGGTGGGCGACGATGCTCCGCCGGTGCCGATGGTGGGAAAGTAAGATGTTCCTTCGTGATGGTGGCGAGGAGTGTCAGACGGAGACCACTGGGAGGCTTGGCTCACGCTGCGGTGTAATGGGAGTCTGCCAGCGAAAGTCGTGTGGGTCGGGGTGGCTCCGGTCGTCGTACTCGATGAAGAATCGTCGTGGGAGTCGTCAGAAGGGTTTGCTGCGTGAGACATGGCGTCTGGACGGTCTCCAGGCGGCTGCAGTGCAGATCTGCTGCAACGAAGGAGCGAACCAAAAGCGAGACCCTAGCGGCCCCCGCGCTTAACGCCCGTCATTCCGTAACCTTAACCTTAGTTCTCGAACTTCGAGAGCAAACCATGCTCTCAAACAACCTCTGAGATACCAGCCCCCGCACCGGAGTCTAAAGAAGGACCAAAGTAGTGCAAAATGAAATGAGGGTTGCGACAGAAAGCAAGAAACGCGTCTATTGCCTAATGAGGCACTGTGGCGGCATGCAGCCCACACTGCTCAGCTGACCACTGCACGCGCGAGCTACTCGAAGTCTGCATATTAGCAAAGTCTCTAAAACATTATACGGGGTATATGCGTTACTACTGTATGGTAAGTCGTCAAAAAAAATTCCAGCCGTCATGAAGTGTCCCCCACAGAGAGACTGTCCGTGATTAAACCCGAAGAACAATAGATCACTTCTTCATCAACTTATCTCGCAACTCCGCTCCCTTCAAACGCGCGCGGAGGTACTCGATCCGCGCTTCGTACCGCGCAGTCACCTCCGTCCGCCGCTTGCGAATGTCCGCCATCTCCGCCTCGAGCCCCGCGAGGTCGTCGTCCTGGGTGCCGTTATCCACACTAGACTGCGTCGTCGCCGCGGATCGTAGTGGCGACGAGATATAGGGTCCCTCGTGCTCGCTCAACGTCGGAAGCGGCAGGTGTCCCGTGCTTCGCGTCAGGTTGACGCTCGATGTGCTTCCCAACTTGTGCCGCCCAAGCGAGTTTTGGTGCGAGGGCGCCGTTCCACTCCGGCTGCGCGTCGAGACCGATGACATAGATGTCTTCCGTCCGAGGGACACTGGCTGGAACACCGGCGCGCTCGCGCTTGCGTTCAGCTGGCGCATACGGCTCTTGACAGACGGCGAGCGCGTTTGCGAGAACCCTGAGTGTGCAGAGACGACGGACATCGCGTCTGGGTCCCTTCCTGTTCGCAAGGATGGCGTTGGAGAACAAGCGTTCGCCTCGATCGGGGAAGATATCATTCCTGACGCCGCCGCTAGTGGGGAACGCCCAGGCGCTCGTTGCCGACGAACTAGCGTGCTAAGTTCGAGCCCATTGAAAGCATCCAGGAGCCGCCGTCCTTCTGCTTCTACCAATTCGATCTCTTGCCTTATCTCCTTCGCCGTCTGTAGCCGCTCATCGTCATCCTCCAGGGTACTGGCAGCGCTCATCTGCACTATTCGCGCTTCAGCACTGAGTGCTTGTGTGGGAAACGATGAGGGTGGGAGAGAAGGTGCACGCCTGATACTTCGTGTGTCAGATCGAAATATCTTCGATACCGGTGTGCGGCGAGGGGATCCAAAGGGGTCTCCGTCGTGAGTCGTGCTTGGCCGCGACTTCCGCAACGAACTGTCGCTGGTTCGCTTCGTCAATGACGGCGAAACTGGTACGCTACGCATACTGCTTGCGTCGCTTCCCGCCGTATCAAGGGCTAGGGAATTCCGTTTCTTGCTTGTCGTTCGTTTCAGAAACCCAGATACAGTCGACTGGAACGATTTCTTCGATGCTATGGATGGTGTTCTTGGTGCCTGAACATGGAAGTTGGAGAGTGTGTGTCGCGTATGCGCAGATAACGGTGTCTCTGTATATCAGAATGAGCTGATGTGCACAACAGATACATGAAGTATAGCGTACTTGGTGGGCCTGCCACAGGGACTAGCGGTGTCTCCGTCGGGATGCTTGAACCCCCTGCGAGGCGTTCAAAGAGATTCTGGCGAAGCAAGCGGTATTCATCGTTGCTGTGAGATAGTGTGAGCTGGTAAATGTGGCAATTATGGGCAGTGGACGTACTCCAGAAGCCCTTGTGTGTTCGCAGTAGCAAGCTCGTCCAAGCGTTGGGCAAGTGATATCCTGCAAGTCAGTTTTCGAAATGATCACCTTTCAGACACCATAACAACTCACGTGATGACATCCGTCGTCGGTCGCGGCTTCTCGGTCGAGAGAGAAAGGTTTGAGGGTCGTGGTCGCACGGCGGATGGGGACGTCGGTTGTCGTTCAGCCTTGGAAAGACTGCCTAAGTCATGAGAGGTTTGGTTATCGGGATTATTGGCGATTTCAGAGTGAATGGATGAGGTATAAGATGTATCTGTTTCGCGACCTTTGCCTTTCTGTTTACTACCATACTGCAATCATGCTTAGGTGAGTGCGGTGCTCGCGACCTGGAGGAATGGTGGACCTACGAATCTTGAACGAATGACCTGGACGACCGTAGCGTCATGATTAAGGGGCTCTTCAATCTGCTCTGGTCTGCGAGACGAAAAGAAACCCATCACTTCATAGTTGACCGCGAGCAATTCGACTCCATACTGTGTCTCGCCAGCATGCGAATTTTGCATACTGATAGCCTGATTAGGACATATTTTTCCCCCATTTTCATGTTGGCAGAAAATAATTAGCGCGATCACCTGATGCATTTAAGTTTCGGATATTACTTTCCGCGGAGGCGGCTTGGTGGCGTTTGACTCAGACCATGACGCATTAAGACTAGTACTGCAAGAGTATTCTTCTTTGATGAGCATGGAAGCAGAGATAGACTGAACTACTAGTATTGCAGTCGTACCGAGCGGACACGAGATTCATTGTGCAGTGGCAGACCACTGTGAAGACTTGGTATCACAGAAGTCACGAGCTAACGGTACAACGATACAGGTTCAGAGTCGGCCGGGTGTTGTACCTGAGGCCTGAGGCTTCGAAATTTGAAAATATGAAGGCTCGACTTCGTTTCAGATTGTTCTCGAACATTGGACACTGATGGTCTCATTCTCTCGTAGTTTACGAGGTCTGCACCCGCTTGTCCACCTCCTTGTCCATCTCCTCCGAGAGACCCTTGTTCATGTCCTCGAACCTGGTGATGTATTGTGCATCCTCGGTTGCAGGAAGAATAAATATGCCAGCAGAAAGCAGTCTTTAACTTGGGAGTACTTACGCTGGTGGACAGGGCTCTGGCTAACGTGTCCGCTGCCCGGTGCAGGCTCTCTCGACTCAATATGTGCATTTGGGTCGCGACCATGAGAACATAAGACGCCGTTAGCAATAGACTGCGTGCACCATGCCATGCTGCAGCTCACAAATCCTTCCTTTGGAGGATCCTTCCCTTCCCTTGTCGCGTCGACCTCTTGGTTCGAGGTGTTTCGCACCGTCTTAGACTCTTGGCTGCGTCCTGGCTAGTGACACCGTCCGCGGCTGCCTGGTCCGGCCCGGAGAAAAACTATGGAACAGCACATGACGCCCAATCATCCCAAACAGATGCTATGAGAGGTCATTAGATCGTACCTTGCCCTGGTAATGACTGGCGTGTTCGTGCCCGCGGTCGTCCATTATAGCCGTTTTCTGGGTTGTAATGATAGTAGCAGAGTATGTGGTAGCAGCGTCGGGTGACTGTCGCTGAGACAAGCGTCCGCT